TATAGTGCTGCTATTCATATGGGAAGGTAGAGAAAGCGAGCAGTGCAGGAGAAGGGTTAACCACAGCGGGGAGGGAGAGAGGGGCATAGAGAGAGGAAGAGAGAGAGAGAGTTGGGAAGTTAGAGAGAGAGAGAGAGAGAGAGAGAGAGAGAGAGAGAGAATGAGAGAGAGAGAGAACGAGAGAGGGACAGAGGGAGACAAAGAAGGGGGACGGGAATAAATACCGCACTGTTTTTGTTTTTTCTTTTGGAAACCCCACTGTGTAACTGCGATACCTAGCAATTAAAAGGCCCAAGATTAAACAATAAAAAAAAAAAAAAAGAAGAAGAAGAAGAAGAAGAAGACCAAGAGCCATAACTGCAAGGACAATAGAAACGTCCGTAACGGAACGGAGAATAGAAGATCCCTAACGGACCGAAACGGATAACGAAACCGTCCTGACGGAACTAATAACGGAACAGTTAAGTCCAAGCTTGCTCTCACTCCACAAAAAAAAAGAAAAAAATTAAAAAGAACAACACTTGGGACTGGAGCTGATCTCTTTTTTTTTTTTTTTTTTTGCGAAATTTCGAAAGTTCAGGGAGATCCGGTTAACGGGGTGATAAGAGCATCTGCCCCTTAAGCGACATATCCAGGATGGGAACTGAATTGCAGTTCGTGTCAAGCTCAACGATCTCCGTAACTGTAACGGCCGCAAACGGCGCGGATAACGGAACGGAGGCATTGATAAGTCTAAGCACCCATTCACGACCGGACAATAGATGAATTTTTCTTTTTTTTTGCGTGGGTGGTCTAGATGGAACGATACATGTTTTCTCCCCACCCCCCCCCTCCCCCCCCCCAAAAAAAAAGTAAAAAAGATACGTGCGTGCCCGACTACCGGTAGGTGTGTGTTAGTAGTCCTCTGTGTGTGTTGTTATGTTCGCTGTAGGCAACGCGCCAAGAAAAGCATGACTGCGGCCCTCGCTCCAGTACTCTCGGAATGTGCAAAACGAGAGTGAATCTTCCGCTAGAACATGGAAAGATACACCGTGACGATCATGAATCTAGTCGGACTTGTGCGTGTCGAGAGTGGTGGAGCGAGAGAATGAATCTTCCGCTTGTGCATGTCGGCAGTAGTGGAGCGAGGCCTTCTAGACGACTCACGCTAAAACAATAAAATAAAATAAAAATAAATTCCATCTATTGTGCCAGACTGTTTAGTTGGACTTTTTCACCGACTCATGAGGATGTTTGTCTTCTGTGCATGCGCTTGGTGTTTGTTCTGTGTTTGGTGTTTGTTCTGTGCTTGGTAGTGTAAATGTGTGTGTGAGACTCTGAGGGCGGGTGCTTGTTTGTGCGTGTGCGAGTGTTCGAGTGTGGGTGCTTGCGGGCGAGCGAAGGTGCTCGTCGTGTGTGTTTTGGTTGTGTTATGTCTTTTCTAGTGTGTTCTTATGTCTTTTCTAGTGTGTTCTTATGTCTTTTCTAGTGTGTTCTTATGTCTTTTCTAGTGTGTTCTTATGTCTTTTCTAGTGTGTT